ACTCTTTCCTTTTTGAAGGTACTACTACTTATCTTAAACCAAACTTAACATTTCCTCTGTCTTGTCTGAATTGTATTCTCTTTTATGTATCTGTAAACATAGGAGAAAATATTGTCACTGTTCAAGAAAATCAACAGCTTCTGAACTGCATCTAGCTTCTGCTCCTTTATTTAAAATTTTATAAGTTTCAGAAGTGGTGTATACTTAAAAAAAATGGAGAGGAAGGATACCTAGGTGAACCCAGAATGTCTGTAACAAACATATGCAATATGGTTAAAGTAAATTTTACTTTACAAATGATGAATATTGCTATTTTGTTGTGTTTACCCAGTCGTAGAAGCAGGAACATCTTTTCTACTTAGATCATAGTTCAGTAGTGTGCAGTATCAATTTTCATGACAGTGAATTTCCTTTTGCAAATTCTTGAGTACAATTAATAGACTTTTTTTTTTTTAATTAATGCAATCCATTGCCCTTCCTTTAGGACTCCTAGGCCTTCTGTGTAGTTTCACAGTCAATTGAAGCTTCACTGTGGTTGAAAGAGGCAGTTCTGCCTCCATCTAGCTCCTTTCTGTATGCTGGTATGTGTTTGTGGCTGCATGGTAAGCTGGACAAGGGAATCAATTCAGTTAAGAAAAAAACAAAGATTCCCCACCCTGTTAGTTACTTTTTAAACTGGTTGGATTCCACTATCTTTGCCAAACAACACAAGAATGAAGAAAATGGCTAGGGGATGTAGCACCACTTCTGTAAAGTTACTGTGAGACTGGGGTGTTGGTCTACTTTCTGTCATGCCTTATCTGTACTTATGGTTTCTTTAAAAAAGAAAAAAAATACCACACACACACAAAAATCCCACCACCTCACTGGGTTCAGCTGTATCTTTTTAATCATTTTTCTACTCTGTAGATATTAAGATACTTGCTCCTGTCACTTGCATGTTTGTATTATGTTTTTTCTCTAGTATTTTTCCTATGACTTAAGTTTTTCACAGGCATAAGAGGCTGGTTGATGGATTAGTGCAATATAAAGCAATAGCTGTATGATGTACAGGATACAATTTTTTTTTTCTGTATTTTTTGTTATAAAGATTGCCACCTTGCTGGTTTTTTTGCAATTTCAGCTCCCAAACTACAAAAACTTCAAAGGAACCATTCAGGAACTTGGTCAAAACCAGTATGTAGTCAGTGGTGAAATATTTGTGGTGGACAGGAACACAGTAGAAATTACAGAGCTTCCTGTAAGGACATGGACACAGGTAAGTAACAGTGAAATACAGTTACCAAAAAAGCCCCAAAACCAACAAAACATTCCTTATGGAATTTTTTAATCCTACATCTGGATGAACTTTTAACAAATTCTGATTATAAATACATGGAAGGGAATATGGTTTCATTCTTTGTGTGCCTTTGTAGAAGGTGGTTTTTTACTTGTGCCATCTACTGTCCATACTACCAACAATATCTGCTTCTCCTGCCGAATTAATTCTTTATCCCCTTTTTCTTTTGAGTAGTCCTTGTTAGATGCCTCTTATGTTTGTGCTAGTCTTGGCCTGCATTTTGCAGGTTATATTGGCTCTGTAAATTATAACTGGTATCAGAATTAATGCACAAAGCTCTGAAATCTTATGTTCAGTTGGTTTAAGGAATTGAGGATTTTAAGAAGTGTTTCTGGTTTTTGCTGCTTTATTTTTAATAGGTGTACAAAGAACAGGTTCTAGAACCTATGTTGAATGGGACTGAAAAAACTCCAGCATTAATTTCTGACTATAAGGAATACCACACTGATACGACTGTGAAATTTGTTGTGAAGATGACAGAAGAAAAACTTGCACAGGCAGAAGCTGCTGGATTGCACAAAGTCTTTAAGCTTCAAACAAGTCTTACTTGTAATTCTATGGTAACTTTTTCATGTTTGGCTATCAGAATTCTTACAGTTGCTCATTGTAAACTCAAATGTTTTTGTAGTGTACTTTGGTACCTGGTATTGTACAGTGTATCCATTTTAGTCCTGATGAATCTTTCAAACCAAATAAGACAGGCTCAGGGTGGTTAGTTTCCTGTAACTGACAATTTCCTGTGCAGCTAACCAAAAATGGTTAATGTAAAGTAGATCATACAAATAACTTTCTGCTATGTTATAATTAGATTTGAGTCTTAAACTTGAGACAAGTTACATTTTCAAAATTGCACTTTATTCAGGACTATTGCTCCTCTAATAGGAGTTAAATGATCCGATGTTTCCACCAACATAAATCCTGTTTTAGACTGTAAGGTATAGAAGACGCTATCCTTAAGCTAATGAAGCTTCACCGAGGTGAAGGGCTCCAGAGCAGAGGATCACGCAGAGGTTCATGCCGGGGAACCTTGCTAAAGTGGCAAAAGTGGCTGAACTGTGGGAAAAACAAAAACCCAGTGCGAAGGCAAAAAATTGCAGGGAGAGAGGGGGTGCCCCAGCCCCCCACCCCCCAGAGAGGGAAACATGAGCTCCTCTGCTGACTCACCATGGGCAGTGACACTTAAGCCCCTCAGGTAGAAAAGCAGCCCCCAGGGAGCGTGAGCGAAAGGATGGGCAAACAGGGCATGGTGTGGCAGTTTGCACGGCAGTTTGCGTAGGCAGGGCGAGCAGGGATTGTGCTAAGGTTCGGCTGGATCAGCCGGTCAGCAATGGTTACCGACAGGCAGAGAGCCATGGCCTCCCTCAGCTGTGCACCCGCCAAGGCAGATGCAGCTTGCCAGACAGAGCAGCGGTGGGAGCACGCTGCCACTCAGGTGTCGAGCTGCAGGGTGTGCCCTGCTCTTATGCCGATATCTGATGGCAGCAGTGAGCATGCCTGTGGGAGGTGTGCCCAGGTAGAGGAGCTCCTCTGCATAGTGGTGGAGCTCAGGGAGGAGGTAAGTAGGCTGAGAACGATCAGGGCATGTGAGAATGAGATAGACCATTGGAGCCATATCCTCACTTCCCTGAGGCAGGGCCAGAGAGGAAGTTTGTGTGGGGGAGGCGGATGGCTCCTTAGCCTCTCTTCGCCAGGCTGACCATAGCAAACGGGTGGACTTAGAGGATAGGGACCAACAAGAATGGAAACGAGTCTCTTCCTGGCACAAACAGGCACAGCAGGTGTGCCCTCTCCCCAGTAACTGCTCCACCTTCCCAGGTGCCCTTGCAAAACAGGTATGATGTTCTGCAAGGGGAACTGAACAAAGAGCAAGATGGCAACTTGCCTAACTGGGAGGCTCAATCAGAAGACGCTATGCATAAAAACGTCTTCAAGTAAGAAAGACAGATGGGTCCTTGTCATAGGGGACTCCCTTCTGAAGGGAGTGGAAGGTCCTATTTGCAGGCAAGACCCACTCCTCAGCAAAGTCTGCTGCGTCCCAGGAGCCAGGGTCAAGGACATTCAGAGAAAACTCCCTACACTAGTTAAACCCTCTGACTACTACCCGATGGTGGTCTTTCAGGTAGGCAGTGACGAAATCACAAGTAGTTTGAGAGCAATGAGAAGGGATTTCAAGGGCTTGGGACAACTGGTTAAGGGATCTGGAGCACAAGTAGTGTTTTCCTCTATCCCATCAGTTGCAGGGAGATCTGAGACGATAAACAGAAAGAGCCAGCAGATCAATGCCTGCCTCAGAGACTGGTGCCACAGGCAGGACTTCGGGTTTTTTAATCATGGATCAGTTTACACTTCACCAGCTTTGGTGACAAAAGATGGGGTACGTCTATCTCAAAGGGAGAAAAGGTTCCTGGTTAGCAGGGATCATAGACGGGGCTTTAAACTAGACTTGAAGAGAGGAGGGGGGGAAAGGGATATAACACAACTCACTAGCGATGAGCCAGTGGGTGAAGCGCCGACATGTATGGGCCGCGCACTAGTGAGACTCCTCAGACTACCGTCCCAGTG